CACCAGAGGATGTGGCGTTCACTTCGAGGGAAGCAGCATTTACTTCTGGGAATGGTGCAGATTCAGTAGGTCGGGAATGATGGTTTTTCATCAGGAGTTCATTGTTCTGTTCAACTACTAATAGCACATATATCAGCTGGTTGTACTCAGTGTAGTCCCACGCTCTATACTGCTGCTGCTGTAGGAGCACGTTAAAGGCATGAAATGTGTTGAAAGTCTTTTCCAGCATATGTTCCTCAGTAATGGTATCCTCACAGAGCTTCATCTGAGAGGTAATTCTGAACAACGCATAATTGTACTCTACCACTGACTTTAAATCCTGAATCCTCAGATGAGTCCACTCATAGCAGGCCCTTAGAAGAATCACTGTTGTCTGGTGATTGTATCTGTTTATCAAGGTATTCCAGAGAGCTAACGGATCTTCAACCGTTAAGTACTCACTCTTTAGCATCTCATCAAGATGGCGACGAATGAAAATCATGGCCTTTACCCGATCTTGAGAGGATGAGCTGCTCTCTTCCCTGATGGTATCTTCAAGATTCCCTGCTTCCAGATGGATCTTGGTATCCAGTACCCAGGTCAGGTAATTCTTCCCGATAATATCCAGGGTAGCAAATTCAAGCTTCGCCAAGTTCGTCATTTTCTTTTCTGAAAAAAAATGAGATGTGTAAGAACTTGTAATAATATGTATTCTGGAGGAATATAATGTTAGAACTTCTGGTTCTTACAAATTTTTCATTTTGATCTTCAGGCCAAAATGATAAGCACTCGAAACTTCTGGCTCGAGATTTTCAGGGTGAATGAGAAGGGCGATTGTACCGCATCATTCTCATTGAAATAATGTAACATAGAATGAGCGATTATTCCCCACCTCTCAAGCAGTAGGAAAATTTAAATACGCAGAGCAGAGTGGACGATTATACCGCACCACCTAAAATTGCAATGAAATTAAACAGCAAACAAATTTAAATATGCAGGGTAGGGTGGATGATTATACCGCTCCACCTAAAATTGCAATGAAATTAAATCTGCAGTCCAAGATAGGCGATTATACCGCACTGTCTTGGATCGCAGTAAGAATAAATTTACAGTTCAAGATGGGCGATTATACCGCACCATCTTGGATTGCAGTAAAATTAACATAAATAAACACTAGGTTAGTAATCAATATCCAAACCAAACAAGAAATCAAAGATGTATGTAATCGTTAGGTTGAGAACTAAGAGCAGACATGGAGCAAACAGTTCGTCGCGAGGGTATACCGCATAGTTGAGGCAGAGGAAGAAAATGAACAGTAAAAACCTTAAAGGAAACATTTTTTCTTTCTTTCGTTCGGCGAAGAGAAATGAGAGAATAATTATATTTAGAGACTCGTGCTGATAACGTGTTATAAATAGGTAGAACTTAGAGAGATAACCTTTTAGTGAATGGAGTAAAGCAGGTGTAAAATGTCACACTAAAATTATAGCACAAGAGGATAACAAATAAAAGACGGAGGAATAGATGATGTTATTGATCTTTTCTCTCGTTCTCTTCTACTATATTAATTGATAGAATTCAGAGTGCTCTATTTATAGAGCAACTCTGTATTATTACATTTTGAATATTTACACATCTTTGACAAATGATCTCCACATATCAATATTCTACCAAAATTTTCAATATTGTGACAAGGTTTTCAATAATGTGAGCATTCATTACCTACTAGTATTTTCAACAGATGGATGACAATTCGTTAGTTTAAACCCGCCATAAAGAAAACTAACAAAGATAAGCCCAAAACGCAGCGTTGTGTTCATCTCTACAGAGCATAGACAAATGTCTTGGAACAGCGAGTCAGTGACAGCACTCCTCAGTCCTCGGTCAGTCCCAGACTCCAACGTCCTCTTCTCTATTCCCGACGACCCGAATTCCCGTTCGCAGCCGCGTAGCCTCCCTTAAACGGCGCCGTATCAGGTACCTCCTCTCTCATCTCTCGGTTTTTTTCTGATATGATTACTTGTGTTGGATTGATGGGTACTTCGTTTGTGAAAACTTGATGCTAATTGGTTATGTATATTGATTGATAATTTCGCAGAAAATGAATTCTAATTGCTTAAACAAAATTGGGGAAACTCTGAATTTTGTAAATGTTGCATTTGCGCTCTCAATTGATATTTCTTGGGTTCTGTTTTTTCTTTTTCTTATTTATTTTTTTAATTGATTTGATTTTTTGTGCTGAAGTTTTGAACTTTGCTTCCTCTAATTACGTAAATACAATTTGTTAATCTGGGTTTTGTTTTGGATTTTTGGATTTCAAATGTAGTATATGAATCTTAACTTTGGGTAAAAAATAAAGCACATAACATAAATTTGGCTGTTTAGTTTAGGTAATTTATAGGCTGAGGTTATTGAATAAATGTAAATTAAAACTTTTGTTTGCAGATATGTGATGCCAATCTTCATGCTTACATACGAGATGTGGATTTTTCTATTTTCTGAATACAAGTATTGAAGAATGTGTTGTTTATGATTAGGGAGTTATTTTGGGTAATGGATAACGATTGGCGAGGGAAAGTATTAGAGAAAAATGACAAGGAAGAAATATTTGAAGCAATTGATGAACTAAAAGTGGGGATGGAGGTAAGTAATGAAGCTGAAGCTTACAACCTATGCAACATATATGCCTTTACGAAAGGTTTTAGTATCCGTAAAGGGAATATTCGAAGAGATTCCCACAATAATGTCCGGCAGCGGGACTTTTTTTGTTCAAAAGAAGGGTTTCAACCGGATGAAGATTTGTGTGAAGTGAAGAAGGTGAGAAGACTAGACACTAGAACTGGCTGTAAGGCTATGATTCGATTCACTGTGGACAATGACGTGTGGAAGATCAGTCACCTCAACCCAGATCATAATCACGAGTTTGCTAGGCCTGAAGAAAGACAGTTTCTACGATCAGGTAGACATATACCAGGTGTGCGCGCAGCACTCGTTAGCTCTATGGTTGATGGGAGTCCAAAACCAACACAATCGTATTCCCTCTTGGGAAAAGACTCTGGCAGCGCTGAGAATGTTGGGTCCACTAATAAGGGTTGTCATAATTGTTTGCAAAGGAAGAATGAAGAAATGTTAGAAGGACGGGATGGACAGAGTTTATTAAACTATTTTAGGCATAAACAGGCGGAGGATCCAAACTTTTTTTACAGTGTTCAAGTGGACCAATTTAACCGGGCGACCAATTTTTTCTGGAGAGATAGTAGATCAAAGTTGGATTATGATTGCTTTGGAGATGCTGTATGCTTTGACACCACATTTCGAACCAGGAAATACAATCTCATTTGTGCTCCTTTTGTCGGAGTTAATCACCACTGCAAGAATGTCTTATTTGGTTGTGCTTTTATGTCAGATGTGAGTGCTGATTCAATTACTTGGTTGCTGGAAACATTTATGGTGTCAGTGGGAAATAAACAACCGAAAACTATATTCACAGATGAGGATATTGCAATGGGAAATGCAATGGCGAGTATTCTTCCTGAGACACGCCATCGACTATGCATATGGCACATCTCTAAGAACGCTGCACAGTATCTTGGATCTCATAGTACTAATCCGGAGTTCAAGGAGCACTTTAACAAATTCTTTCATGATTGTCTCACTGAAGCTGAATTTGAAGCTACGTGGAATGACATGATTATTAAGTTCAACCTTGAAGGTAATGCGTGGCTGAAAAGGTTATATTCACTTCGGGAAAAATGGTGCCCTGCTTTTAGCTTAGATACTTACACAGCGAATATTAGATCCCCCCATAGAGGCGAGAGCATAACCGGTACTTTTCATCAAGTTTCTACAAAAACAATGGATCTCATTGGTCTTGTCCACCATTACGAGAAAAAAACAAGAGCGCTGCGCACAGCAGAGTTGGAGGAGGATTTTCGTTGTAAAAATGGTACGCCTCATCTTAGAGTAAATAGTGGTATCTTTAAGCATGCATCTGCTGAGTACACTGTCAAAATGTATTCATACTTTGAAAATGAGCTTATGAGTATCTTTGCGGTGAGGATGATAGAAGTTGGTAATGATGGCAACCAATATATTTACGAAGCAATCGAAGAAGGTAATCAAAGAGCCTACATGATTGACTACAACTCCGCAACTGCCATGGTTTTGTGTTCTTGTAAGTTATTTGAATCCATGGGGATTTTGTGCCGGCATTCCCTAAAAGTATTGGACTTAAAAAACTTCACTTGCTTACCACCCCAATACATAATGAAGAGATGGACTAAAGGGGCAAAGAAAAGGGTTGCAGTGAGTGGTGATTCATTTGAGTCGTCATACAAAACGGGGAAATCTTCCCAGTCGTCACGGCTAAGTTCATTGATGCATGAAGCAAATAATGTTTTCAGTGTAGCTGCATTATGTGATTCGGGAACAAGAATCGTCAGACAAAAGTTAGAGGAAGCGATGAAGTTACTTGAAAGTGATGAGGTAACTACTTCCATGGTGGGAAATTTGAGCAAAGTCGATGACTAATTTGTTCGTGATGTGCTTGATAAGTGAAGGTAGTTGGGCGAAACCAGAAAGAGAGAATGTGTAAGGTTTTGCTGTTTTGTGCCAAAAATTACACTTGTGTAAGATGTTGGAAACTTGAGTTTTCTATTTTGTTCTTCTTTGACAGAAGATGTAATATAGATTCTCTCTTTTAAGTAAGCATATCATTTGGTCTCTGAGATTATGTTTTTTCTCTGATAATTTGGTTCTGCTGTAATCTTTTCCTTTTGGACTCTTAGGTTATTGCTTCAACCTTCACAATGATACAATTTTAGTTGGATGAAATGGGGGGGGTCCGCGGGGGGGGGGGGGGGGGGGGGTGGTGGGGAGGGTGGGGGCGTGGGGTGGTGGGGGGGGAGGTGGGGGGAGTTGGGGGGGGGGGGGGGGGGAGGACGGGGGTGAAATAAGCATCTCGAGACTAGGGTTGTTGCTTCAATACAAGTGATAACTAAGCCGTCGTGGTGGGGGGTGGGTGGGACGCTCGAATCAGATACAAATCTCGAGTACAAGAGTGAATGTTCTTAATCACTTTTTTTCTTTTCTTTTCGAAAGAGTGTCATTCATTTAACAAATAAAGACCCTTTGCGCTTACGAATTTTTATCAAATATAAAACGAGAGGGACACTCAATATAGGTTATATATTCTCTAGTTTTATTTTTATTAAAAATTTGTAATCGGTTTTATATATTTACCCACTGTCTTTGTGGTGGTACATTTTTATACCTAAACATGTTTGGGACTGCGATCAGGCGCCTTGCTCGGAAGCCAAAACCTCCGATGAAACCTATAGAGCTCAATACCCCACCTGAGCAGACTCAGACCATCACCAGGGCCATCTTCGACATCGTCAAGGAGCACGGTCCTCTCACCATTTCCGAAACCTGGGATCACGTCAAGGTAATTTCCGACCCCCTTTGCAGTGATTCTGATACGCGCACCAAGTGTTTGATGAAATGATTGAACGGTGTTTTCAGCAAGTTGGGTTGAGAGGATTGACGAGTAAGAGGCACATGAAGATAGTGCTGAGGTGGATGAGGGAGAGGCAGAAGCTCAGATTGATATGCAACCATGTAGGGGCTCAGAAGCAGTTTCTGTACACCACTTGGTTTACAAAGCACAACAACTTAAGAAGCCAAAGCCAGGAAGTGATTCTCCACAGCCCAAGTCCCCTTGAAGTCTTGTGGATTTTCTTACTAGCTCAGCAGTTTTGTTCTGAGTGGTAATAAAAAAAATTGAATTGTTTTGCTGCAATGGAAAACTTAATCTAAGTTATTAGTTGTAATTTTTCTTTTTACTTTTTAACATGTCAGTGATTCTTAATTTTACTTTTAATCCAAGCAATTTTTATAAAAAAGAAGATTTGAACTCCAATGCATAGGGAAGCACATTCACTCTAACAAATACGGCTCAGCGGGCTCGAACTCAATAAATCCCTCATTTTAGTAGTTCAAGGTGAGCCGGCAAATACCAAAATGGAAGGTTAAGTAAAAGCAAAGCTTTGTTCAGGATGTTCGTTTAAAAAACTCATCAAATAAAAAGCCGGCAAAACCGCAGAAAACTTGCATGTACCCGTTTCATTGAACTGTTCTCTCACATTTGATGTATCATAGGAGAGGCATGTGAGCTATATGTGCAACACCCGTTTCATGAAATGAGGGTAGGAAAAAAAATTTCGACAAACCATGAAGAAACCCATAACAACAGAGTTAGCACGAAGCATTTCAATGAGATGTCAATTTTTCCAATCCCATGCTTTAACAAAATCGATCAGGTCTTTCATGTCGACCTTTTGGACAAGCTACCACTAGCTTGGTGTCTTAATATGTACATAAATGTACAGCCCTATTGGAAAATAGAAAAGAGAACCCCGAGGGACGATTATGTCGCCATAAAAGGAAAATCGACCTACTATTATAGTGTAGTTCATCTTCATCAGGAGGAGAATAGAGTATGTTTATGAATCTGAGTGGCTTTGCGACTTGCGCAATACTTCCTTCAGAACTGCAGCAATTCTAATTGCCATGTGGTGTTCTAGGAACCTTTCCTTAACTCTTTCGAATCCTCTCTTCCCCATTGTAAGCCTCCTCTCAACGTGAGTGGCAAGTTTTACCATATTTTTCGCAAGAGGAGCGATCCCTTCTTTCCCAATAGGATGCAACAAGCCTGTTGTTCCGTTCACTACAATCTCTGTTGTGCCACCTGCCGCTGTTCCCTGGAAATAAATAAAAAATGTCAATTACACGAGGCAACAAGATTAGCAGCGCCGGTATTAGATATTAGGCAAAATAACAAGAGGAAGGTTCATTACCAATACAGGCAGCTGAAATGCCATGGCTTCAATAGTTATCCTACCAAAGCATTCTCCCCGTGCCTATTTGGAAGGGTAAAAGATATCACAAAATGAAAATGAACATATTAGTAAGATCAAGGCCTTAGGGTGAGACTTGCTAGAGAAAGACAGCAATGCCATTGCCTTTGTATGCATTTTATGATTGATCTGTTCAGCTAATTGGGAACTTGTTGACATTAAAAACTATGATTTAGAATTCTATATGCATCAGAAGTTCTATCTGCCACTTTTGGTACAAACAAGATATCAAATGCATTTTGTAAACGGAAAATGTTTCTAATACCTGAGAATTTTGAACAAGGACATCAATTGCAGCCAGATATGGAGCTACAGTCAAAGTTTTGTCTATAAAATGAACACGATCTTGAATTTTCTTCTTCGCTACAAAGTTACGTAACTCATGCTCAAACTTGGTATGAGCAGTCATGTCACTCCCCACAATTACAGCATGCATTCTCGGCAGTTGCAGCTTCTTCTCTTGGATCAGTTGCAAGCTTTCATAAAAGGAACGCAAAAACAAATCGTGGCCTTTTCCACGTGAAACGCCTATAGTCATGAAGTGTACTTTAGTGCTCACTGTGTGTGTGCATAAACTAACCAGTACACTACTTTCTATTTTTTATTTCCCAACGGAAATTAACACAAATTTCACAAGCATACAACAAGATAAAGATAAAAAGCACATAAACTGGTGAATTCATGGTGAAGCATTATAACCAAATTCATTCAAACCACCAAAACAGATCAAAATACATACTGTTTATGATGGCAAATACAAGATCTTCTCTTCGCACTCCAAGAGACTCCCGGACATGCTCACGCAAAACCTGTTTTGCTATACCGTCCTCAGCAACTTCCATAAGTTCCTTGCTGTTTCCAAGGTGAACGACAAAGGTCTCGGGCATTTTAATGCTGCAGAGAGAAAATGATTGTAAATAGTAAACCAAAATTTGATATAAAATAAAAAAGAAAAAGGAAAAATATATGAAGCCTACCCCAAACGCTCTCGAGTCCTATTCTCCCAATATCCTGCTGTTATATGTGAATCTATCATAGAACCTGCAACAAGTGGGAGATGCTTAACATAATCCAATTTGAAATAATGGCCACGCATTTCATGAATCCACCACAACACTTTCGGGAGAACACTGGGAACATTTTCCCTAAGAACAACATCCAACCATTTCCCAGAAACCGCAGTGTTCAATACAATCAAATCAGCTTTGAGAGCTGTATTTACAACTTCTTGGCCATTTTCAGAGAGGACCTAGAGATGTATAAAAAAAAAAGTATTAGACACGTGGAAAAGTTACAGAAATCTAACCTATCAGAAACAAGAAATGGCACACAGAAGACCAAAAGCCAGCCAAGGCCATAATACAGATCAAATCAAATAGGGAGATAGATTTACTTAACATAGTTTCCTTTGCAAGTGGCCAATATAGTATGGTTGATCAACAGGATGCTTATGAAGATTACGAAATATTGAGATGTAAAACAAAGACAACAACTAGACTGCAAAAGAAGCGTCCAAAATAATCTCTTAAAAGTGAATTTTGTACCTGCACTCCTCGGTCCAACATCTTATGCCCCAAGCTGTATGTCGTTGCATCTGTATCTGACGATTTCATGGTTGTAACCCAACAAACTTCAGTGCCAACTCCTCTCAATAAAAATGCTAGCTCCATCAACAACAAAGGTCCACCTGGAAGAATGTTCAATATATCATCCCATAAGTAGAGTTTGTAAAATATAAAGAGCAGAAATTGGTTGGAAACAATATACTCTTCATCCAAATATATGGCTAAGGAGGAAGGTAGCTTTCGTGAGTTGTGCTAGCCTAAAAATCCAGAACATGCATACTACTCCATTTATTTCAATATGCCGACGAGTGCATGTAAATATAACAGAAAGAACGCATCGACATTAATAAAAGTTTGTCTGTTGACGCCTGACAAAATATTGACTCAATAAGTTATTGAACCAAGGAGAGTCTCTCAACTGAAAAAAAAAAAAAAAAAAAGAGCATTCTTCAAATGACACATTGTACTACAAAATGTTTGGAATTATTTCACCATTACATGAAACTATACTAAATGCAGTCCATTAGCGTTGACAACTCAAAAACAAGATTATCCCAATAAATAGGTTAATATTCAAAAGACGACAAATATTTTCATGTTGAGTAGTAATATAATGCTTAGATTTGGCAGAATTTTTGGTCTTTTTTTTTTGTTACCTGAAAGCAAAGCACACATCAGTACATAACTGATTTGTGGGCCTATGGCCTCTGGACAAATAATTCATATAACCCTGCTTATCCAGTTATTGAATTAAATAAGTTACAACGTAATATGCGAATATTAGAACAATACAGATGCCGTGTTATAAGAATCAATATTAGCAGAGAAAGTAAGGTACTACATTCTTCCGTTCTATAATCTTGATATCGCATAAATCCCGAATGAAATCATTGATTAAGCTCGAACAAAATGGAAAGGCATGCAACTGCACCAGGCCGTGTTTCCAAATTCACAAACAAATTAAATTCAACGAGATGAAAAAATATCAAAAAGCATTAACACGCTAAGGAACAAGCAAGCTGGTATTGCTTCACCCATCTCCATAAATACTAGATTAAAAGAGGAAATTTAAAGTAATGAGGCACAGGAAAGAACTGATTGTTAAATGGGTTATCGAAAACCATTAACTTAATGCTTACAGATTCCACTAATACAGTGGTGCTTTCATCTAAAGCTGCTAACTTTCCATGTTTGTATAATCTAAACCAGTAATAAAAATCTTAACATGACTAATTAAGCTAATCGCTGAGCTGATGAACATCTAATCAATAAATTTACACATAATAAATATCAAAAGATGCATTAAATTTAATTAAATTCATAATAATAATAATAAAATACTGGCGACAGAGACATTACCAGAAAGAGAAAGTTCGTGGGAGACCAACAGTACGAGCTTGGACTTCATGAAGATGAGGGGGCTAGGACTGGTACCAATGGACGCACCCAACGGAACCCTTTTATCAACGACGTCAAGGCCGCCGCGATCGCAGGTGTCGAAGGCGGCTCTGATGAAGAAGGCGATCACGGTGGAGGCGGAGAGCATGACGAGGAAAGCCAGAAGCCACCGCTTCTGCGCAGCGACCCACCCGACGGAGTGCTTGGCCATTGCTAGGGTTTGAAGGGTCCGTCAGTACGAGTCCCGGCGGCATAATTCAAGGGTTAGGATTTTCGACTGCGGCCGGTGGGGTTCGAACATTTGGCTCACTGCGATCGAGCACACTTGTAAATAATAATAATCTCAAGGTTTTTTTCGAAGCTGGATTTTGGCGCTCAAATTTTGTGAAATTAATGGGAAAGTTCGAAGCTTTAATCGTAATTCTTCAGTTCGATTGTGTTTTTTGGCAGAGAATCGGGCGCGGAGCTCGAGGTTGAGAGCTGCTGCTTCTCTCTTGAGTGTGGGAGTGTTTGGAGGCCTTTTTGTTTCTGCTTTTTTTTTTTTTTTTTGGGGAATTTCCAATACATTTTTTCTTTTTTGCTTTTTTTGCTTTTTTGTTTTAGGAATTTGGGCATATGATATGACATTTTGGAATATGGTTTATTGCGACTTTTCCTTTTTTGGGTTTTTTTTTTCTTTTTTCCCTTTTCTTCCAATTTTGAACACTTGTTTGTTTTCACTTTTCTCTTTTTCTTCTTTTACTTTTGAAAAATAGTAAAAATTTCTCTACCCTTTTCCGGTGTGCAGAGTACTTAGGCGGGGAAAAGGACCCCTTTTCTTGGGGATCCCGAAATCCTTAGATCATGATCGTTTATCGTACATCATAAGATCAGTTTTCGTTAGGTACTATTTATATTTAATTTTAAATTTTAAATCTAAAATAATTTATAACCGCATGATGTACGATGAATGATTATGATCATGGAATTCTCTAAATCCCTAAGAAAATGATGCGGCGAGAATCCTTTTCCCTTAGGTGGACCCCCTATTGACCATGTTATTGTCTGTTTAGTTGTAATTAACGGAATTTTGTTTTACATATTTCATAATTGAAATTAATTATTTTTTAATTACTATTTTGAAGATAATTATCCAAAAAAATTAATGAAACTAGAAACATGGTTTATTTATCAAATATGTGTTAAAACAAATCAATGATAAGTGACAATAAAATCATCTTGTAAATTGTCATTTATGAACGACTAAACAACATTTAATTTGATTGATGATTTCAAATGGTGATGAAGAAGGAAAGTGTCAGAATCACTTTTGTCTATAATAATTATATGGAAAATAAAAACACAGGGAGTCTTACACAATATCCTAAAAGAAAAAATTTGAAAAGCATTATTATCTACACTAAAAGGTGAGGAAAGCCTCACAATAAGTGAGCTATAATAACGTGGTTCAAATTCATATTTAACCAAAATTAAATCTAAAATTTCTTAATTTCAAATGAAATTAAATATTACTATATCAAAGTAACTTGTTGTCAATTCACTTTCTACCCATTATATCCTTGCATTATTTCCAAAAGTTTTAAGCTTGCTCTTTACTATTTTACAAAAATAGCTTCAACAAAAATCCAAACTTTAATTTTTCAATTCCACTCGTCGTCAATTCAATTCCGCAATCACCTCAAACAGACGCATCTCCCTAGTGTGGGCAAGGACCCATTGTTTATTTATTTATTATTATTTTTTTTAATCGGGTCTAACACGTCAACTCTCGCGGCCCAACAGTGTACGGGTGGAGCCTTCGTCCCCTTGGCGCCGGTACCAACAGACAGCACATCCCGAGCAATGCAGAGCCGTCGACGCCGTTTCGCCTCACCTTCTTCTCCTTCTTCCTCGCATCGCACTTTTCTTGCCCTACTTACAGGTCGGTTGCCAATCTCCAATCCGCCATGTTTTCGATAATTAACGGCGGCCTTGCTTTGTCAATTCCGCCCTTCGTAAATAACCTTCCAATTTTTTTTTTTTTTTTTTTACAGTTCTTGCATCGCAAGCACTTCAAGCTTCTGCAGTTGTAGTACCGCGATCCAATTGCTACGTTTTCGATAACACTAGCCGCCTTGTCGATTTTGTATCCTAATTAGTATTAAACAGCGTTGATTATGCTTAATTATACACTGCCTTGGAGTTTTAATAATGATTTTTTTGATGAAATGATGTGTTATTTTTCTTAATCTGTTAATTAGAGCAGCTGGATTGGGCATCCGTTTGAGTACGACGGAGGGGTAATTCCAAATTTCCAATTTCATTCTGTTGCATATATATAATCATGTGTTTTGTAGTGTTACTGTAATAGTTCATATTTGTAATCCAGAAGGTGTCGGTTTTAAGTTTGTTGCTTCGATGAATCAGGAAACCGACTTGGTGATTCGGTTTTGCAAAGATGTGGAGAGTAGATCACAAACGGTAGTCCATATATCCACCATCTTCTCAAGTACTTTACCATTGCCGTTTTATTCTTATTTTTACTAATTATCTGGTTAATTTATCGAGTAAGACATTCGATAATCCATAATGTAACTGGTCCTGTATATGCTTGTTCTGTATCTGTAAGCTTCACAGCTGCATTTGCTATTAAGTTGCCACTTTGGTTAGATAAGAGTAATTTCAGTTGGTGTTCGGTTCAACATTTTCATTTGTTTACAAGTGCCTCATTGTAATGCAGGGATATGTAGATTTCGGTCGATTTGATAAGTACAACAACTTTGTTTCTGGTTCAGGACACGTAGACTATGTTCAAGTGAGATTTTGCTTTTGGTTGTAAACAGTACTTGAGCTCAGTTCCTTTAATGTTGTAGGGAAGCCGAGTTTTCATAAATAATTATCTCACTTCTGGACATATGTAGGGGTTTTACAATGGAGACCTGGCAAATTGCGAGACCAGTTATGATAAACTGGGACGAACAGCTCAGGTTGGTTTACGCTGGAAAACTTTCCCACCCTCTAGCATCTTCTTTATTCTCAGAGGTTTAAATTTCTTAAGACATTGTTATTTTGCAATCACCGTCAGTTTACTTCTCATGATTCTGTTTTTTTGTTTTTTTCGTTCTGTAAGTTCAGGTAAACATTCTATGTGGAAGTTGTTTAAATGGACAATGCAAAGGTTTGTGTACCTTTCATTTCTACGTTCGTGCATGGTCGCCACATATACTAGGAAATGATAGTGTCTTTTCGAGTATATGGAGATCTGTAATCTTGCACAATATTTGAAATGTATTTGGTTGAATGCTCAGTCGATAAATTTTATACGGTTACCCTTAGAACACTTGTGATTAAAGGAGGCTTCTGATAAGAAAGGTGGTGAGAATTAGAAGTCCAGGCGAACATAGAGAAGGAGGAAAAATCTGAGTTTCCGGATTACGATTTAAAGTATGACTAGTAGGACTTCCTCACAATTTTTACAAATGGGAAACAGTTTCTGATGGTTTCATTGAGAAAGTGAACACTAGAGTGGGAGGAAGAGAGAAAGTCGTAGGAAACTCCAACTAGCTTTCACAAACCTCACATTTCATACTTAATTAAACCATTGACAAACTTTAGGTTTCATTTCTCCATCCTGCTTTCCATCAAAAGTCAAAAACTACATTTCTTACAATTTTCTACTTCTTATATTGCATCTCTAGCTTCAACTTCAAATAAAGTTCTATTTCTCTCAAGGAAAACCATCAATTTGGTATTGCACCTGTGACACTATGACATTTGCTGTAATTTAAGGCTGATTTATTATTATCATTTGTTTTCAGGTGGACTTGGATGCATCTGCAATGTCACTTACGAGTCAACTTGCAGGTGTTTTGAAATGTTCTTTGGTTTCCACTTTTGTGGCATTAATATAGAAATGTAGTGCTAAAATATTTGTTAATTTAGCTAATCAGTACATCCATGTTGCCAATCCAACATATACTGCATGTTGAATTTTAGCTTAAGAACGAATATGTATCTTTCTTTTGATTCTTAGTAACTCCTTTTTCTAATAATTCCTTCAAATCATGTATTCCTGCATTTGGTTCACATTTATAGGGTCGTCATTATACCTGAGGGAGCGTGTTTGTGTGTGTTGTGTTTATATTTTGGGCCCGTTTCCAATCAGCTTAAGCTTATTAGATCAAGGATCACTTTATAGTTTGATTTGCACTATGAAATTTGAGACAGTCTTTCCAGATAATATTTGCAATGAGATGATCTGGTTCCCTAGTTATGTTTCTATTTCAAAATGTTGCAGAGTTTTTCTAGAGCTGGCCATTCCATGTGAGAAACCAGGACCCCGCGTATTTAAGGGCTTCACTGTAGGTTTCCATCCACGGTCATGGGAGCTTGTAAGAATGATGTCATTCTCGCGGAGGTATATTAATTTGTTGATGCAAAAGTAAATCATATACTGAATGAATTATTTATGAACTTGCAGGTTTATGATGGCATGACCCAAATAGGATATGAAAAATCTCACTGTGAGTTTAGGTATGGGATGAGTCATTTAACATCCCCTCCCCCTAACCCAGAAAAGGAAAAGTAGTCTCGATCAATCTGACCTATAAAGTGCATTTTGCAGCTTTGGGACCGAGCAGAGACATGTAACCCTTTATATGACTGCAATGGCTTCCCTTTCCAGTTTGGTGCAAAGACCTATTATTAAGGTACTCGACTTCCTTACAATTTGATACATGCAAAACCTTTTATAATTAAATAAAATGGTCAAATTATATGTGCTTTGTTTGTTTAAATATTTGCAGGTCTTACCAGAAAGTGGCCTGGAGATTAAATTATCGGGGTCGGGAGCAACTGGGAGCGCGCCTACAACTTTGTCACCGACAATGTTAAATGTTGAATGGAGATGTAAGGGTATCTTTACTGCAGTGGGTGTTGATATCCCTTAATGATAAAGTCTTCTTAATTCCTATTTGTATTTTTCAGGTGAAAGGGCACGTGATACTCCGTATGAAGTGAATATCACTATCCCAGTGGAGGGTTATGAGCCCATCCAGTTTTTTCTTGCCAAAATGTGTGGTAAGCTCATATTGCTGTCTCCTAAGAATCCCCTGTTTCAACTTCAAACAATGGAGAAACATAACCAATCTTAATAGAAAAAGTTCTGGAGATGCAATTTAGTAAATTGTGTTAAAGCGATACTTCATGCACTAGAACTTGCTGGTGAAATGTGATTGGCTGATTGAGTGTGTAAATTTGTTGAAAATTTGATACTGGTAGGTTTTTGCAATAATATCAACTGAAAGAGCTTGGTTTGCTCAATTGCAGAACATAGGCAGGAGAAGAGTGGAGAGAGTACGACGGGATGGGCTACATTTGGGGTGTTGTCCTGCATGTAAGCCAGTTCGTACTGAAAAATATCCATGCTAAAAATAGTTATTGCATGCTGAAATTTGATAACAAAACATGTGATCTGAGCACCTGCATCATATGCCGTATTGATTGGCAACAAACAGATTATCTAATCTTAATTTTACATGTAATCTCAAGTTATCAGTAAATTATAACTCAAGTATCAATCTCTACCTTTTATTGGGAAAAGTTATATATCAATCCAGTATTTCTCTATTTTTAACTGAAGTTGATGTTTGAACGATCTGTCTTGGATCAGATTCACCGTATCATCAACACTGTTTTGTTGTGGAGGGTTTATTTACAAGAGTCGAGTTGAACAGAAGGTAGACCTTATTCCTTTGGATTCAGTGTCTTGGATGGTTTTGTAATTTCCAGTTTTTCATCATAAGGCTCAATTGGTATATCTTCAATTATATATTAATATTTACGCTTGATCATATGCAGCGTGGGATAGACGCATTGCCTGGCATGACAATTCTATCTGCTTGTTTAGAAACTGTAAGTATACATCACTAGCATTAAGATATATGTTATATGCCTCGGATTTAGCAAATGACTAATATTTGATTGACTTATGACTTATGCGTGAAAGGCTTACGAATTTAAACTATCTTTGAGGCTGAAATATGATATTATTTAGTCAGAGATATCTTATGATGATGAATGCCGAAACATGTTGCGGACCATTACTTAGGTAAACGTATAGGTTTTACATAGACAATCATCATGCTTTCTTCTGATTGTTAAGACGGCAATTTCCCTGCATTATTCTAGACCATTTTTATGAGACTCAAATTCTTAGGAACAAATAGACCCTGCAAGATGCTTTAGTTTTAAATTGTAAAGACACCTTACAAAGCAACTGAGCTTGATCAGTGCCCATATCCTCTGTATACTTTCTAATGGTTCTTAATTTGGGGATACAAAAATAGGTGAGTGACACAGGGCAAAGCTACACCCGACACGAAGATCTTAATACTGCCTTTGCCAGTGAAGCCTCTTGGGAACGTTCTCCTTCTCCTGCTCCTGCAACTAAAGGAACATCGAAGCCGAATGAAAGCAGATACGGTGCAATTTGAACGTTATGACCCTGTGAATATCAGCTAACTTGTACCAGTATCACACACGAGGGGTTTGAAGTTTTACTGCAACATGTTTGTCTTTCAACGAGGCCAAATTTTCATATCACGGTAATATTGTAATTCAAATGAATTCATTTCATATCTGTTTTTTAATTAACGATTATCGTTCATGAGATTTGAAATCAAGATCTCATCTAGCAAAGGCAAAGACTGACAGTGGCTAGACCACAGAGTCATACGCTTGTTCGTTAATATGTCACGTGCAATGTTAGGGATATTCTAGCTATATGTAATGGCATATGCTTTATTTAGGCTTGTGAGATGTCAATTGCAAATTTGCGATTAAGGGAGGCTTATAGGAGTAGTTGTCCTACCCTGCCTACAAATATTATCTTTATCAAAGATTGGACCGTCCAGATTTAACCTAATATTCCCGTTATCACATGCTTTGGAATTTGGATTTGTCTCACTTTTTCTAATATGCCAAAACACGTGTAACAAGAAAACACGTTGAACGCACGACGACAATTTATCTATGAAATATTTGATCCTATTGTCAAAAAGCCACGAGGATAAAAGCGTGATGAACAACGGAAAAGATTGATGATTAACCAAATAAAGGAATCAATGTCAATTCATGAAATAGTAGGGAGACCGAAAGGAAACAAGAATACAAGACATGAACGTTAGGGGTCTTTTTTGCTTGGATACAAGCATATATTCGGGGAGGCGGAAATTGAACACATGGCCTCGGGTGCAGATATTATAGAAATGTTTTATTGGTTAGCAGATGACCAATGAATGCATAATCTTTAACTCTTGGATTTGATATCAAAGGTGAAGCATAAATGAATGTGTTTTTAGTATTTTAATCTCAATTATTGATGTATTAAACAGAATATTGGATGACAATAGACACGCAGAAATTAACATTTTGACCTACTTATGACTACATAACTTCGGATGCGGAAATTGACGCATTGAACAACTCGAACTACAAGTCCGTTGTAATTATTAGAGTAAACTTTTATCAATGCGATAAGAGGGAGGAAAAAGATTCCAAGATTGTCGAGACCTTTTACAGACATTGACAAAATCAGAAACTTCAGTGATGTGGTTTTGGGTAACAATTTGGTCTTGTCAAACAAAGTAGTTGAGTCTCTTCTTTGTCATCGCAAAACAATTACTAAATTTTGTCCCACATGGAGCCCCTGGTCAATCACCGCTGTAATCCAATAACATGGTCCGTGTAACTTACGTGACAAGAATTACCCAACAAAATTTTACAGTTCAATTTAAAAATTATACTAGTTTCAATCAAATAATGTTTTGAAGAAAAGAAGTTTTGGCAGGACTGTTTAATTAAAACAATTTTTATGGAGCTAAAGTAGAACTAAAGTATAAAGAATTGGGTAAAGTACAAAAAACTACCTCAATTATTGCGGTCATGACAGTTTCATACCTCATCTTTTAAAATTGACAATGTCATACCGCATCTTACGAATTTGTGACAATGTCATACCTTCGTCAATTTTTCTGTTAGTTTTTCTGTTAAATGCTGACGTGGCAATAGACGGGGACCACTTTCTATTAAAAAATTAATAAAATATTATTAAAAACTAAAAAAAATATTTAATATTTTATAAATATTAAAATAATAAATAAAAGTAAAATTAAAAAAAAAAAAGGGTAAAGTACAAAAAACTATCTCAACTATTGGGGTCACGACAGTTTCATACCTCATCTTTTAAAATTGAAAATGTCATACCGCATCTTACGAATTTGTGACAATGTCATACCTCCGTCAAATTTTCTGTTAAGTGCTGACGTGTCTTGATTCGTAACCCACTTTCTATTAAAAATTATTAAAAACTAAAAAATAATTATTTAATATTTTTTAACTATTAAAATAATAATAAAAGGCAAAAAAAAAAAAAAAAAAAAAAACCCTCATTTCGTCCCTCCCCTCCCCCCTCCTCCCTCCTCTGTCCTCTCCCCATCTTCATCTTCTTCCCCCACCTGCAAATCCCAACAAAAAAAAAAATAAAAAATCCAATTTGTCTTTCCCCCACACTCGCACTCAATTTCCCCACACCCACACCCATACCCACACCCACACTCTTCTCCCTCCTGCAACCCAAAAAAAATAAAACTCAGATCTCGTCGGTGGGAAGATGGGTGCACAAAGAAGGTGGAGGATGAGTGCGGAAGAGGATGTGGAGAATGGATGAAAGTGGTGGATTTGGGGTTTGATGGGTTTTCAAAAAAATAAATTTTTTTTTTCCTTCTTCTTCCATAGGGGAGTTGATGGTTTAAAAAAAAAAAATTTCCTTCCTCCTTTTTTTCCTCCTCTTCTTCTTCTTCCTCCTTCTCCTTCTCCTTCTCCTTCTTCTTCTTCCGCAGGGGGGTGTTGATGGGTTTTCAAATTTGTTTTTTATTTATATTTTTTCTTCCTCTTCTTCTTCTTCCTCCTTCTTTTCTTCCTCTTCTTCTTCTTCCTCCTCCTCTTTCTCCCTTCTTCTTCTTCCGCGCCGATAGGGGGGATTTTTTTTTTTTTTTTCCTTCCTCCTTTTTTTTCCTCTTCTTCTTCCTCCTCCTCCTCCTCCTCCTCCTTCTCCTTCTTGTTCTTCTGCAGGGGGTTGTTGGGTTTTCAAAATTTTTATTTATTTTTTTATTTTTTTGGGTTTGCAGGTGAGGGGAAGAAAATGAAGATGGGGAGAAGAAAGAGGAGGGGCAGGGGGAGGAGAGGGACAAACTGATGGGCTTTTTTTTTCTCTGCTTTTATTATTATTTTAATATTTTAAAAAAATTAAATAATTGTTTTTTAGTTTTTAATAATTTTTTAATAGAAAGCATGTTCCGAATCAAGCCACGTCAGAACTTAACAGAAAAACTAACAGAAAAATTGACGGAGGTATGACATTGTCACAAATTTGTAAGATGCGGTACGACATTGTCAATTTTAAAAGATGAGGTATGAAACTGTCGTAACCCCAATAGTTGAGGTAATTTTTTGTACTTTACCCTTTTTTTTTAAATTTTACTTTTAATTATTATTTTAATATTTAAAAAATATTAAATATTTTTTTTAGTTTTTAATAATATTTTAATAATTTTTTAATAGAAAGTGGTCCCCGTCTATTGCCACGTCAGCATTTAACAGAAAAACTAACAGAAAAATTGACGGAGGTATGACATTGTCACAAATTCGTAAGATGCGGTATGCCATTGTCAATTTTAAAAGATGAGGTATGAAACTGTCATGACCGCAATAGTTGAGGTAGTTTTTTGTACTTTACCCTAAAGAATTCTTTATTTTTGTGAGAAGTGCCCTATAAATGATGTAATCGACATCCATATTGAAGTATTTCTTGTTTTGAAGATGTAAAAGATGCAAAGCTCCTAGTGGAGTGAGAGGGTTCATTGTTTCTTTAATACTTGCATGTCATTCTAGCTGAATTTTTGGAATTCAAGATCTAGAACGATTTATATGGTATACCTGTTAACGTATTATAATAATGTGAATATTTGATTTGACACTATAACCAGTCAATTTTAAAAATCTAGTCGTCCGTTCATATTGCAACATGTAAGTTGGTTATACCACGTGATTATATTCTAATATTGCATAATAGGTTTTTTGAGATCTGATGGTCTTGCAATCAAATAGTGTAAATATAGTACAGATGGCATCAAGGGCCAGGTCAATATATTCACATTTTTTCTCTGTCGAGCAAACTTGCATTGTGAGTCAAAAAAAATTGTTCCTCTAAAATAAAAGGGGTGTATTCAAGTGGAAATTTGAGAGATTTTAATAGATTCATAAATCCATGAATTTTATAGAGTTCAATTGATTTGTAGAGACTTCATGTAAAATTTTGATTTAATTCTCTCAAAATCTCATGGGAAGAGGTGAGATTTGTGGATGCTTAAAATACACTACTAAATCTCTCCAATTCCCTCTAATTCCTTAACGTTTTCAAATTCTTTAAATTCAAATTCTAATTGAATATAATTGGAATGTTATAAACTTCTTTAAAATTCTAATTGAATACACTCGGATTTCTAAGGATTTTAATAAACTATCTTAAAATCCTGATTGAATACGCATTAAATTTCAGAGAATCATTTAAAATCCTGATTAAATACCGCTAGATTTATTAAAAGAACTAAAATCCCATATGAATACACCCCCCTAAGCTTAGACCTACTAACTAATTATCATCTTAATTAGAAACGCATTTACCATAATTATGATTTAATCAATTTCCCAAAAGCATGAAAGCTACATACCGACTCCCACCTTCTCTTTTGATCCTGTCTATTGATGTAGCAGCTTGCAATAGTAAGCTACCAACTCCAGCCTCTCTCTCTCTCTCTCTCTCTCTCTCTCTCTCTCTCTCTCCACAAACCTCCTCTATAAATTTCATCAATCCAACCAAAGGATTCAGCAAACCAAAATATTCAAATTTCAAGTCTTTCTTCTTCTCCAAGAAACTACATCATGGCTCAGTCTATGAGCTTCCTTTTAGCCCTTTCTCTTCTTGCATTATTTCCACTATGTTTCTGTGATAAAACTCCTGGTGGGTATCTCTACCCACAGTTCTATGACCACTCCTGCCCCAGAGCAAAACAGATAGTCAAGTCCGTTGTTGCAAAAGCCGTTGCAAGAGAAGCCCGAATGGCGGCTTCTTTGCTCAGACTGCATTTCCATGACTGTTTCGTGAAGGTCTCCGATCACAAAAACTTCTAATTACACATTTTATGTGACCGAGGCACTTATAAATTGTGTTGCTAACTATTTTGCAGGGTTGTGATGCATCACTTCTGCTGGACAGTAGCCAGAACATAATCTCCGAAAAGAGGTCTGTCCCGAACCAGAATTCAGCACGAGGGTTCGAAGTGATCGACGAAGTCAAGTCGGCATTGGAGAAGGAGTGCCCCAGCACTGTGTCTTGTGCTGATATTTTGGCTCTTGCTGCTAGAGACTCAACTGTTCTGGCAAGTTTTAGCTTTTTTTGTATGTTGCATGGTGTGTGACAAAAGCCTAAACTCTATGCTGACTGTCCATTGTTGCATAATGTTTCAGACCGGGGGGCCAAGCTGGGAGGTGCCACTAGGAAGAAGAGATTCAATTGGAGCAAGTTTGAGTGGCTCCAACAACAACATCCCAGCCCCAAACAACACATTCCAAACTATTCTCACCAAATTCAAGTTGAAAAAGCTAAACATTATTGATCTTGTTGCACTATCTGGTAAAATTTTTCCTAACACAGTATTTTGTATGTGACTATATTGTTTTGCAAAATATGGGTGTGGGTCCACCATTGAACCTGATTGAGCACTGATATTGATCTCCAACTTAACTTTTAAGGATAAAGTAAGAGAATTTCACATGGGTGGACTATAATTTTTCCTTTTATTGTCTATATTGGCTGAGTGATTGACTTTGTTTAAGTATCGTTAGGGTGGAGTGAGTCAATTTTTACTAACGTGGGGTAGGTTAATTTTCCCCAAATGGATGAACTTTATAAGAATAGCACCAATAATTCATTTACCCAATTTTTGCATTATGTTGGAGCCCACCTAGGTTTGCTAGGTTGTGTTAAATCTTCCAAACGGATTTAGATTTATATCTCAAAAGACTTTGATGCTATTAGTAATCACCAACTTATAATTTGTATCTAGCCACACAACTCCAACATGCAAAATCATAAAATTACCAAATCCATGTTGGGTTCCATCTCAAAAGACTTTGGTGCCCTAAACTTTGCTTATGCAGGAAGCCACACCATTGGAAATGCCAGGTGCACCACCTTCAGGCAGAGGCTCTACAACCAGTCGGGCAACGGCCTGGCCGATTCCACCCTCGACCAGTCCTACGCCGCCCAGCTTAGAACGCGGTGCCCGAGATCCGGCCGGGACCAGAACCTGTTCTTCCTGGACTTTGTGAGCCCCACAAAGTTCGACAACAGCTACTTCAAGAACTTGCTGGCCTCCAAGGGACTTCTGAGCTCGGACGAAGTTCTAGTCACGAAAAGTGAGGTGTCGAACAAGTTGGTGCAGCAGTATGCAGAGAACAACGAGCTTTTCTTTGAGCAGTTTGCGAAGTCCATGGTTAAGATGGGGAATCTTTCTCCGCTTACTGGGTCGATGGGAGAGATTAGGAAGCGGTGCAGGAAGGTTAACTCTTAGTTATGATTAAGGTTGTATAATTTTTGTATGCAGTTTTGCGTTTTTTTGTGTGTATTTTGTGCTTTCAAGGATAAATTGTGGGTATTATTATCCCATGATGTAATTTAGTGTTGGTGTATTTTAATGGAAATTGCACTAACTTTTCTTCCTTTGTCAAACTTCTTTAATTCGTTTGGCTTTTTGGAATTTTACTTTAGTAGCCGCGGCCTGATACCCGCGCCTATTGCCACCTCTGTATCGGTGGTCTCCTCCGCAAACGCATGCCCGTGGTCTCGTCCATAGACACGCCCGCGACTTTAGCTTAGTAACTTAGTTTAGTTTTTATGTTTCGTATACCGCTTAAATCGGGTTTGTGTTGTCCAGGCGATCTATTGTGGCCTTGCTATGGTTTTTATGAGGGTCTCAATGCTAGGTTTGTCGTGTCTTTCGTCTTTTGTTACAAATTTACTTCAAGATACTATTAATCAAGGTTTTAAAAAACGCTAGGCGCTAATTGGGCGGTGGGCTAGCGCCTAGCACCTAGGCGGGGTTTAGACGGACGTCTAGATGGATTTAGGTAAATGTATTGCATATCTTGTAAATAAGTAAATAAGTGCATATTGACACTTACAAAAAATTATACTTGTATAAAATTCATAGATAAGATAATAAAAGAATGATAAAATGCAAAAGAGTATCCAACAATGTCTCTCCAATAGATAGGATTTTGTTTTTTAATGAATTAGATGGTATAAGATGAAGGTTTATTACTTAATAAATATTTTTTAAAGATTATTTATTATATAGTGAATGAACTTAAAAAAATGTAAATGTGTAAACGTTGTGGTTTGTAGTCTGTAAAAAGGGAGGTGGGGAGCATTACACCAAAAAGGGATGTGAGGCACACCACACAATATTCGATGTATGTTATCTATGATTAGAAGTTAATTAATTTTAAAAAAAAATAAAACAAAAAGTGGAGTGGTCATGTCTGTCACGTGGGGGAGTGGGAAGAGAGAGACTGATTTCTATCTTCTTCTTCCTTTCGTCTTCCTTTCATCTTCTTCTTCTTTCTTTCATCTTCTTGAAACGCAGAAGGCAAAACCAGAACAAGAACACAGCTCTCTAGAACAACAAAATGTCTAAAAGGCCCAGACCGCCTAGGCCGCGCAAGCACCGCCTAAGTTGCCTCCGCGCCCGCCTAATCCTCTTGCCGATTTTTATCTCGATTATGGGCTAATCGGAGCAGCTGGGCACCTTGTGGCGCCTAGGCCGATTTTTAGAACATTGGTACTAATCCTAGTGGTCTATTATGGAAACCGTATAGGTGTTTAAAACAGTATGAAGCATTTCTGAATCATGAAATTCGTCAACAAAGAATATGTACTCATTGGCCACCTCTGGTACTTGTTGTTCTTAGTAATAAAACACTCTCATCGCTTTTGTTAAAGAAATGTCTTTGAACACTTACTTTATGCAATTAGATCATATTTAACTATCAAATATGCATCGGCACTAAATGCCTATAGGTACTGAAGAAAAATCGCATCTAATGAGATTCATGAGTTAGGACTAAAGAATTGATAAGCATGAGGATTGAGGTCGATTAAGATTTTAAGATAAAAACTCACATGAAACAATTTGATGTACCATGAGAAAAAATTTCATAAAAAGGCCCATGCAAGAAAAAAAGAGAAAAACTTCGGTCGGAAATTTGAAACACATTAATATTTTGTGTACTACTTACCTCGAGTTAGTATAATTTATAAAAACATAAATGTAAGCATTGCCATAGTGCTGAACTATGCAAGACTAGGATGTGAACATGATATTATCACGGAGTAACTTTTTTTTACTTAGTTTTAGATAGGGGTACAACTTGGATTAGGTGAATTCGAACCCGTTCATATCCAACTCGACTTTAAATTCGAACAAGTGGGTTTTTTTAGTTATAACCAGCCCGAACATAATCCAATTTCAACCCGTTCATTGATTGGGTTGAGTTGGGTTGATCATTTGTCTGTTCATCCCCAACCCAACCCCACCCTACTAACCAAACCCAATCTAACCAAATTATAACCGATATCAATTCATGCTCATACTACACCGAAGTGAGCCAAGTCCAAAAACCAACGCCATTTCTAATATTTTTTTAATAAATTACCCCTCATAATTACTTAAGTTTTTAGAGAATAAGAGGCTTTGATTAGTCAACTCATATTCGTAGTCTCTAAATCCTAAAGCTTTATAGTAGATTGATTTATGAAATTAAAGTTAGCTAGATTTGATGCTACTTGGCTTAATTTTTTTAGGAATTCTTGGAAACTAAGTTGCTACAAGGTTAAACTTGAAAAAGTTGGGCAACCCGAACCCAACTCAAGTAAACCCTAACCCAATTAAACCCGAGCCCAAATGAACCCGAATGAAACTCAACCTGAACCCGAGCCCGAGCCCGAGCTCGAATTGTAAAAGTTGAGTTAGGATTAGGTTGACCTTCCAACCCGCCCAAGTTGCAACTCCCCTAGTTTTAGACAACTATGTATCTACTCATCATACTACATTATAAAAGACACACAGTTGTATAAAATTAGGTATGCAGACCAATTTTAGCCGATTATATCCGCTACTTATTAAATAGTATCTACCAATTATATCCGCTACTTATTTGACAGGAAAATTAACGAAAAATCCATAAAAACTTTAGTTTTAATGAAAAATGATAAATAAAGGTGTAGTGAATAGTATCAGGGAAAGGTAAAAGGGAAAATTTATGTAAACCCACATGGCCGCTTTTTATACCCAACTTACTCTCTATATCCATATTATTTTTAATTATACTCTCAATATCTCTTTAAACCTAAATTTACTACCTAAACTAGCCTCACAAACCCAATCAATATGTAAAATTATCTTTATACCCATTCAAAAAATAAAAAAATCAAACCCAAATCATACGTTCTCTCCTCTGAAGTTTTTACCTTCCGACGTATCCGTTGCATTTTCTTTCAATCTTCCGTCGCTTTGCAAGAACACACCACTCTTAGCATCAAACATAGAATTTAGAACCGTTGAACTGTCCATGTGGACAATAACAAGCAGAAACAATCTTGGGGACTAGGTTTTGAATCTTTTGAAGCCAAAACCGAATTCAGACAAGTTAGATAAGAGAAACAACATGCTATTATCCAATTTATATGAACCCAGAATGGCAGATTAATCGTGTCAAATTTTCGAACAAGAGCCAGGCAAGTTTCGGAAGCGAGAAGAATAACAGACAAAAATAGGAAGCCAGTACTGAAATGGTTCAAATGAATGAAGTTACTACGAAATAAAGCTAGGATTGTAAAGTTCAGAGATTAAAGAGCAACACAACTAACCAAATCATAGTATATAAAGGTTCAGAAACTGAATCTATCACATTCCCACTCTAAACATAATCTCCAATTAGGATTCTTTTACCTAGAATAGTTTCCAACTGTTTGTATAAATGACACGCCCGACCCTAATATTCACCAAACATCAGGGTAGGCATGTGTTGGCCGACACCCAAAGGTGACAAAGCCATATTAGGATGCATGCGAACTAAAAACAATTAACTGACATAAATAAAACTTGTAAATTTAATTATAATAAATATGCAATTGTGGATCGTGTTCAGAGCATACAACTAATCTGAGACACTAAAAATGAATAATAAAATATTGAATGAACAAAATGATGGGTCCTACACCAAGAGGACTCAAAGATGCTGATGCATGAGTGTCTTGACGCCGAGATTGTACACCTCGATTCTAAATCCTGAGGGGGTGCAAAACAGAACATGAGTGGACCAAGTTGATATATAAGTAGTAATAAAACAATTAATCTTTAACGTACTGACCCCCAGGTTTAGAAAACTCGTATAGCATAATAAGTAATAGGTTTTCCCCATAACCAATTAAGGCCATAAAGCAACATCTCAAACAAATATCCCACAACCAAAGTTACTAATTTACCCTTTCGATTCGCCAAATTCGGAACGGGTTGTTACAATAAATCCTTGTATTCACTATATCAATAAAATCACCAATTCTACAATTTCACAGACATAACCAAAACATGTTATTACAACTCCAATGAAAGCATATAAAATTTGCCTGTCAAGCTGAACCAAGAGAGGCACGAACGAGTGTGCGAAGCAAAAAGAAACATCTTACCGATGATCTTCTAGTCTTCCACTTTTACTTTGTCTAGATTCTAGTGAGTTTATACCTTCAAATCTTACAAACAGAATTAATGTAGAATTAATTGAAAAACAAAACTTGCACAAATCGAAAATAGCTTATTTCATCTGAGAGAATCCTAGGATTTTAGGCAAAATAGAACATAAGAGAAAGATTGTGTGATAGTAATATAAGGTGTGGGTTTATTGATAAATTTTAGTTTTATAGTTAATTTTATCTTGTACTTTATGATAATTATGCAATAAGGTAAAAAAGAAACTTCACATTTAAAATTTAAGTTGGGTGTAAAAAGAGGTTAGGTGGGTTCAAATAAAATTTTCCAAAGCAAAAATATGATTTTTCGTTAAAAGTAAACAGTACCTAAGTGTTTCGTTAAAATTCTCTTATTTGACACCACATGGATAGTCGGTCCTTCAACAAAGAACGGATATCTGGTACAAAGAGGAACGTGATGCTCTTGGGCCTAAAAACGGATTTGGGCTCGTAATCGATTTTTACTTCACAAAGCCCAAACTTAAGCCTTCGTCCCTGTAGGGTTTAAGCCTGCAGGCTTCTTCGGGTTACTCCCACTCGCGCCATACCAGTCATTCTCTCACTCTTCTCAGAGCTTCAAAGCCATGGACGCTCCAACCTTCTGAAATTCTATGCTCCTCCCACAACCGCCATGCTCAGATAACTTCCTCAAATTCCCTAAAATCGCACTCCCGACCCCAGCAAAATGAGATATTTACGATTCATTTCCCCACATTTTTCCCGCATTCAAAAAACCCTAAACCCCCAAAATCCTAATCCCATTTCATCTCTCCAATCGAGACCCCAGATTTTCTCTCATGTAGTGTACAATTACACCACCGCTGCACCGGAGCAAAGGCCGCCGCCGTCCGAGGCAGTATCGGCGATCGCGGACGAGATCTCGGGCCTCACCTTGCTCGAAGTCTCGGACCTAACGGAGGTTCTGAGGGAGAAATTGGGCGTGAAGGAGATGCCGGCGATGGTGATGATGATGCCCGGGATGGGATTCGGCGGCTTGAGAGGAGCCGGCAAGGGCGGAGCGGCGGCGGCCAAAAGCGAGGAGAAGGCCGAAAAGTTGGTGTTTGATGTAAAGCTCGATTCTTTCGATGCTGCCGCGAAGATCAAGGTGATTAAGGAGGTGAGGACGTTTACGGATTTGGGGCTGAAGGAGGCCAAGGACTTGGTGGAGAAGGCACCTACGCTGTTGAAGAAGGGGGTTACGAAGGAGGAGGCCGAATCGATTGTTGCCAAGATGAAGGAAGTTGGTGCCAAAGTTTCTATGGAGTGAGGTAATTTCTGCAATTCTGCTCCTGCGTTTTGTGATTTTGAATTTGAATGTGTGGTGTGCATTATAGTTTGGCATTAGGAGCTATAAACCCTTTTTGAGCTTTTCATTGTTTTTCGGGAATCGTTAAACCCAAGAAAGTTTTCGTAGTATGCTGGTTTACAATTCCAGTTTTCGTAGTATGATTAACAAAAATGCGGAAATGATGAATTTGTCAATGGGGCTTAACAAAGCTGCTTGCTTGATTTTTCACATTAATGAAAGTTATGAAACCTCTCGGCTATTGTTCCTTTGTAAAGGTCACCGAGACTTTAAGGATGCTATATAAGCACTATGAGTTTCAAGTCGTGTCCCGAATCCCGTTTTCATCCAGTCTCTAAATAGTAAATAGATTTCCTTTGTATCTGGGGCTTTATATCATGACTTTGTTGGGGAGCTGGAGGATGTCATGGAAGAATTAGTAGGAAAATCTGTGCTTACCTTGGAAAATAATTTGAGTGAGTGGTTTGTTAGGTACATCATACATCATTGGAAGTGGCTTATTAAATGATAAATGGGCACAAATATGCAAGATCTATATATATTTTAGTGTAGAATGATATTGGTTACCCAATTGTAGCACGTCCAAACGTGCATACGGCTACACATGCAGTTTTGCGGCACATACATAAGCATACAATAGTGTCATCTAAGCAGCCAAATTACTTGTCAATGGTTTCAGGAAATGGCTTTTGACAGCACTTGTTATCCGTGCACGTTACCACACTCTTTTCTGGTTCGTTGTGGTTATGCAACTTCAATACCTAACGGTGTGCATTTTCTTTTGGTGACTCTCTAGGAGGAGAGAAGCGTGAAGAAATTCAAGGCTCAGGTAGCAAGGATTGTTAAAATGTAGAGTAGCAAAATAGTGATTCATCACAGTGGAAGTGCAGTTTACCTAGTCTATTAGAAGACTACTGGAGATCTTCATGATGCAAGGCATTCATTTTTTTGAAAGCATTCAATGATAGAGCTGCTTTAGATATCTTTCTTTGAGTTAGAATAATGTATCTGCGGAAGTTTTGTTCGATTTGTTACAATCAGTCCTATTGGCTACTTCATTACGTTTATTTTCCCAACTGTTGTAGACCTAGCATTTTCATATATGGATTCACAAAGTTGAGTTTATGATTTGTACGTTGCCAAATTGTGTAAACTTCCAGGAACAGTTTAACTTCTTGCATACCACTTGATCGAATCAAAAGAAATGTCATTGACTTTGTAGACCTTCTCATGCAGCAGTTCATGTCTCAACAACTCCGCTTTTATCTTTTTTCCGAGGGGTTTAAAAACTGGCAACATCAGATCGTACTCATTACCAGCTATGTCTTACACTCTGGTCATGATGCCTTGTTTAGGATCTTCATGTGGTTTCAACGACTGCAAGACATGCCTTTCTGTGTCATAATTCTTCAGCCTTAGTAAGTCGTGCGTCACATCGCCATGTGCCAACTGCTTCTCAAAAGGCTTTCTGCGCATTTGAATCGGGTGTTGGATGCTTGGGACTGGCGGGATTGCTGGGGGGAGTAGCTGTCAAGTTCATAATAAGATCACGGTTCCAGTTTTGGTTTTTTGTGTGCAGCAGCAATGGTTTGTTGGGATTTCAGGGCTTGTGGAGCTGCAGGTTCTTGAAATTGAATCGAATGTTTGAGGCTTGGCCCAGTTGCTGTTGGTGGGAGATCATGAGGGACATTGCTGCTAACTCCCTCCAACGATCCATGCGCCCCAGCGATGGCTTCATGGGTTTGCAGGGCAGCATATGAGCCTGCCGGATTTAGAAATTGTTTCGGGTGCAGGAAGCTTGTGAATGGTGGGAGATCACTAAAGACAGAGTTGTGAATCCCATAGTGCGAACCTAGGCCTCGTTCTTGTGGCTGTTGGGGCATGCCTTGTTGCGCTGCAATGGCTTCATGGGCATTTAGGGCTTCAGGTTGTTGATTATGTGGGGCTGAATATTCCTGGCATTGAAGAAAGCTTTGTTCTTGTTGTGCAGTAACAGCTTCTCGTCCCTGTAAGGCTGCTGCAAATTCTTGTTGAATTTCCAATAATCGTTGCTCGATCTTTCGATGATCAAGATTGTTTCGTCTCAAGCCTTTCAAGTCATCGCCGGAGGAGTCTGAATCCAAAAGCAGGCTTTGTGTAAGAAAGAGCTAAAACAGTCTCTATTTCTGCTATCAACACATCATCATCAGTCCTTGTTATACTTGTGTCTGTACTAAACCTGTTATAACCAACAAATATGTATTAACAAATTGACTGCAGCGTGTCACTCTTATGTACGGCTAATAGAGAGACATATTGAGGTTAGAAAAATGAGAATTTTAACAAAAAATTTCTGGTATTGTTCACTTTAATAAAAAATCATATTTTTACACTAAAAAGTCAATTTTGGTATTATTTATTTTACCCTTTATAACCAAGCTGCACCAGCACAAGGCAGTTGTTGTTAGAGCCCTGCCGGGTGCTGCTGTAGTCGAAATCATCAAACTCTATAAATCTGCCGTGATATACAAATGTCACCGGCGTCCAAGTGGCTGTGAACCGCCACCGCCGATGCCGGATTCCCCACCGTCCGTACGATATTTCAAGTCCCAGACTGTGGAGTCACCAATCTTCCAACTTACAAGTCACCACTGCTCGATAGAGGTAAAATAAAAAATAAAAAATCCATCATCGATTCTCCTGCAAACACTAGCTTTTTGTTTTGTTTTGTTTTGTTTTTTGATAAATTTTCACCAGGAAACCATAAGAGTTCCACTTTTTCAATGCATTTGTAATTGGGTTGCTTTCAATTTGGGTTTTTTTTGGTGGTTTGTTTGCTGAAGAATGTTATGAGTGAACTAAAACCATGAAATCATATGGCTGTTGAGAAGATATGTTGATACAATCCTTGCTATCAGTTTTATGTGTTGCAATCGAAAACCAGTTTTTTCTCCGATTTCGGCCGCTTATTTAGTTTTTCTTGGTGCAATGATGTTTAGAGGAAAATATTACAGCTCGCTGTTTGATTCAAATGGTTTTAGAAGGTAGGGAGTAGTTAACTTTATGGTAACCTATAGGTTATAGCAACATTGTGATTTTATTAGGTATCTATGTGTCTAGTAAAACCAAGATTGCATCTTCAGACTCCTCTTCATCAAACTCGATCGTATTCTAGGCTTTACGGTCTGCTTCGTATCTTACCTTAAATTGATAGTGTCTGTAGTATTCCGTTCTTAGTTCGTTTGGCTCGCTTAGTAAATCATTTCATGCTAGAGGTTACTTATTCTGTTTATTTATATAGCTAGTGCTAAAGATAAACCAGGATAATGTCGTGGAAGAATTGGAAGGAAAATAACTTGAGTTGGTGGTTTGTTGGGCACATCATTGGCAGTGGCCTTTTGAATAACGGACATAAATGAGCTATATTTCTATTTTTGCTTAGAATGATACTGGTTGCGCTGCCGCACCTCATAAAAATGTGGCTCACCTAAGCAGTTAACCTTGAAATAGTATCACCTAAGCGGCGCAATTAAATAGCGGCTAAACAGCCGAATCACTAGTCAATGGTTTCAGGCAATGTTTAGGACTTGAATATCATTATCATTGCACCTTTACCCGCTGTTTTCCTTTTTTTCTGGTTCAATATTGTTATGCAACTTCAATAACTGACTTTCATGATGCAATTTTCAATAGAACTGATTTGCTCCTTTTTTTTTGAGTTAGAATAATGTATCTGCAGAAGTTTTATTTCGTTTTTTAACAGTCAGTCCTTTCATCTACTTCATTACTTTCATCAGCTGTTGTACATCTAGCATTTTTGATAAATGTGTTCACAAAATTGAAATTAATTAGATGAACTTTTCATGTTTCTTCGAACCAATTTCATGTCAACTGAAAGGAACATTTTTACAGAATGAACTTGATCCATGTTTACACCTCAAATTTACAACTGGATCGAACCAAATGAAATTTCATTGACATTTAGACCTTTTCATTTGCAGTCCATATCTCAATTCTGCCTTATTCTTTTTTCTGATGGGTTTTGTAACTGGCAATTTTCTCGAACAGATGACAAAGCAGAGCTTTCCAGTTTGTGCATTCCTGAACGCCCATAGGGTAACAAAATCTCGGTACTTTACCAGGCCATGATGTTTCATGAAGTGTTTCCAACCTAGACGGGTAAGGGCATAACTATAATTGCCAATTTTTGTGGCCTTGAAATTCATCTTGTACATATTACCAGCAATGTCGTATGCTGTGATCCAGATGCCTTGTTTAGGGTCTTCAGATGGTTTCAACAACGGCAAGATATGCGTTTCTAACAATCCTTCAGCCTTAAGTCTCGCGTCACATCGTTTTGCATCAACTGCTTCTCGAAAGGCTTGCTGCATATTTGAATCAGGTGTTGGATGCTTGGGACTGGTGGGATATCAGGAGGGACATAGTTGACAATTTTGTAGTTGAGGTCTTGTTCAGCAGCAATGGCTTTTTGGGATTGCTGGGCTTGTGGAACTGCAGGTTCTTGAAGTTGAATTGAGTGCTTGAAGCTTGGAAATGATGGGGCATCATTAAGGACATAATTCTGAATTTCACAGTAGCAACCTGGTCCTAGTTCTGGAGGCTGTTTGGGAATGCCTTATGTTGCAATGACTTTTTTGGCTTGCAAGACATGAGAGGCAGCATGTTCTTGAAACTGAATGGAGCCTCGGAGGCTTGGGACTGGTGGCAGGAGATCAGGAGGTACATAATTTCCATAAGACCGACCTAGTCCAAGTTCTTGTTCTTCAGGCATTCCTTGTGCTGCAATGGCTTCTTGGGCTTGCAGGGCAGTGTATGTGGCTGCAGGTTCTTGAAAGCTTGTGAATGGTGAGATATTACAAGAGACAGAGTTGCGAATTCCATAGTATGAACCTATGCCTCGTTCTCGTGTCTGTTGGGGCATGCCTTGTCGTGCTGCAATGGCTTCTTGGCATGTAGGGCAGCAACAGGTTCTTGAAACTGAGTGGAGTCTAGGAGGGTCAGGACTGCTGGCAGGTGATCAGGAGGTACATAAATTCCATAAAACCAACCTTGTCCAAGTTGTTGTTGTTGTTGTTGTTGTTGTTCAGGCATTCCTTGTGCTGCAATGAATGCTTGGGCTTGCAGGGCTGCGTATGAGGCTGCAGGTTCTTGAAAGCTTGTGATTTGTGGGAGATCACAGGAGACAGAGTTGCGAATTCCATAGTGCGAACCTATGCCTTGTTCTCGTGTCTGTTGGGGCATGCCTTGTTGTGCTGCAATGGCTTCTTGGGCATGTAGGGCAGCAGCAGGTTCTTGAAACTGAGTGGAGTCTCGGAGGCTCAGGACTGGTGCCAGGTGATCAGGAGGTACATAATTTCCATAAGACCAACCTAGTCCAAATTCTTGTTGTTGTTGTTCAAGCATTCCTTGTGCTGCAATGGCTTCTTGGGCTTGCAGGGCAGCATATGAGGTTGCAGGTTCTGGAAAGCTTGTGAATGGTGGCAGATCACAAGAGACAGAGTTGCAAATTTTGTAGTGTGAACCTATGACTCGTTCTCGTGTCTGGTGAGGCATGCCTTGTCGTGCTGCAATGGCTTCTTGGGCGTGTAGGGCAGCAGCAGGTTCTTGAAACTGAATGGAGTCTCGGAGTCTTGGGACTGGTGGCAGGAGATCAGGAGGTACATAATTTCCATAAGATCAACGTAGTCCAAGTTCCTGTCGTTGTTCAGGCATTCCTTGTGCTGCGATGGCTTCTTGGGCTTGCAGGGCACCGTATGAGGCTGCAGGTTCTTGAAAGGTTGTGAAGGGTAGGAGATCACAAGAGACAGAGTTGCGAATTCCATAGTGCGAACCTATGCCTTGTTCTCGTGTCTGTTGGGGCATGCCTTGTAGTGCTGCAATGGCTTCTTGGGTATGTAGGGCAGTAGTAGGTTCTTGAAACTGGATCGACTGTTTGGTGGCTCGGAATTGGCCGCGGGGTAGAATTTCCTCCATACAAGTGTTGTTCTCGAATAAATCTTTTTTCTTGGTGCCGTGCAGCAATGGCTTCTCTGCCGTGTAAAGCTGCTGCAGGTTCTTCGATTCCCAATATTTCTTGCGCATGGAGTCCATTTACTTCAAGATTGTTTCTTCTCAAGTCTTCCAACTCATATCCAGAGGAATCCAAATCGAAAAGAACATGGCGCATGTAAGAGCGAGCTGAAGCAGTCTCTGTTCCCACTCTCACTTCATCTTCATCGTGGTG